TCATGATTGAAGCCCATGGCGTGGCCGATTTCATGGATGGGAATCCCAAGCTACAAATAGAGTAACAGTAAAAAAAACCCATCGTTTCTCAACAATTTTCAAAAGTGTAGTGCTACACAGGCATGCGTTGTTACTGCTAAGACAAATGCAATTGATGCCTCAAATTATCACTGACTAAGTTGAAAAATTTTCTGCTCTCAGACGTCGTAATTATTCTCAGATTATGTCGTAAACTCAGATCGACCGGACGTCGGATTCTAATATTGTGTGCGTGAGTGTCTGGCGCAACAAGATAAGAATAAAGAAAAACCACAGATGGCAAAGAGTGGCAAGGATAAGAAACAGAAATGGACAAGACAGGGAGACGAAAAAAGTATTATATGCAGGATTCTTTTTTTTTGTGGTTGTGTTGGGTTTGAAATGGTAGACTGGGCTTTATGGATGGTTTGCAAGGGGAAGTGTAATCAAATATCTTAATTAAAATGGGTGATATCAGTGATTGAATGGTCGTTGATGAATATTATGCCTGGGTCTGTGAGGTTGTAGATGTTTGCCAAGTGGATTTGTGGTTGTAACAGAGACGGATATGGTGGTGTAGCATCTTTAGTGTGGACTGGGGGGTTACTATCTGTAGAGTATTTACGAATAAAAATTGTTTCGTCTTTTTGTCAGTCATTGTCGAGTAGTAGTTCATTCGTACGAAACTGTCGCAGGCAATTATTTATTAGCGAGTAGAGTATCATCAGTTTGTGACGTCCTAGGTATTCGAAAGCTTTTGAATTATCGAAAAAATCTATATTTTATTACAACAATCTATATCGAATACTTCGAAGGCCCAGGTATTCGAAAGCTGTCTTTAACTGCGTGTGATGGGTCAGCGCCAAGCTCTGTTGTGCAATGTTAGTTTGTTGTATTCCTTGTTTGCTATATCAACTTATTTTTTGGTTGGTTTTGAACATTTTGGACCGTCTCTTGTATTTGTAGTTTGTTTTGTGTTTTATACTGTAGTGTCCGTGGTTAAAATTTTCATGGCGTGCATGCATGTATTGCCAGTGGTAGCACATGCCAGTTGAACGTCCAATATTTGTGTTAAGTGGTGATCTCCTGTTAAGAGTGCATTTCGTCTGCTATGCGGCTAGTAGCATTTTCAGTCTGTCATTTCTTTCGTCTCGAACAGTTGGTTACCTAGATTAATTTTTTTAGTTGAATGTTTCAGGGGTTTCGAGAGGTCATGCGAAAAGGGCGCTCAAAAAACCAATAGGATCATGCGAGATTGCGTGCAGATGAACGAAGGTAACAACGGGATGATAACGATGGGACACGACGTAGTGCGGAAAGGCTGGTCACCCTACTCGACAGGGAAAAGCCTGTTAGGTGTGGGGCGCGAGCGCCCTCTGTAGCAAGGAAGGAAATAAGGATAGAGTGACGGGAATAAGCGAAATCACAAGAAGATAGTTATTATGCAGTTGTATATACAACTGAATCGTTGAAACGGGCACTAAAGTAATGAGTAAAAATTCCTTATAATATGCACCTTCGGTTAGGAGGCTGCTATTTCAAAAGTTTTCGAGAACACAAGGCTCCTAAGAAATGAACCACCAAATTAGCCACGGAGGTCTTCAAACATCTTATATAACGATGTAAACTCATTCTGAATATCGTATTCGAACGTCTTTACTGTTTTATGACGTAAACTCTCAAATGTTACAACACTGGAATGTAAAATCTGAATATCGTATTCGAACGTCTTTACTGTTTTATGACGTAAACTCTCAAATGTTACAACACTGGAATGTAAAATCTGAATATCGTATTCGAACGTCTTTACTGTTTTATGACGTAAACTCTCAAATGTTACTACACTGGAATGTAAAATCCAGGCATCGTCTCACCACAGTAAGACATCCGGATGCAAGGTTCACAGGCTGCCCGTTCAAAGAAGAAATTCTGCCGACATAGCTGTTGCAGCCCGAGTTGTTGTCTTGGAAGATGAGATGCGGGTTGCCATCCGCACTTGCAATTTCATGGAACCTGATGCACGTATTCGTCTCCCACGAGCTAATTGCTTGCCTCACCATCGTCTGGGCAATGGAGGCTGTCGAAGTAAGAAATGTTCAATTAATATACGCTATTAAATTAATACTATGCAGTTCATGTTGTTCGAGGAGCAAGGGGCAGGAAATCGGAACAAAATTGATCCGCATAATAAATTGTACACATCGTGTGAAATATTAAACAGCAAGCGTTTCAAGTGTACAATATTTCATTCTCAATAAATTAAATATAAATTAAGGAGCGTATAAGGAGAGTTTTTTCTACCTAACAGTTTTGACATTCTTTTAAATAAAAAGAATAAATGGAATTATCATATTTCTAATGAATGAAAATTTGTTTATGCTTTTTTATTGACGGATCAATAATTATTTTACATAAGTATTTTGATATTTGTTGGCAATCTATAAAATAAAAAAGAACGATACTTTAATTATATGAAGGCGCTTGTAAAATCAATTTAAAAATCCCTCGCGGATGAATCGCCGGGGTTAATTAAATATTACGCGTGAATGCTGCACATATAATTACTACATTGAATTATATTCGATCTATACCGAGTTAATACATTCTAAAGTACCATATTTGGGATGTTCCGAAGGTAAATAAAATTAACCAGAACTATATAGAGCCTTATTATGTTATCAGATAATTATATTTTCGGTGTTTTCTTATAATGACACCAATGGATGCAGTCTTACAAGTCGATATATACGGTTCAAAGTCATATCTTGTTCCGAGGATATTATGCGGGAAGTACATAAATTATTAGGTAGGTAAGGAGATGTTTCTCTTGAACCATCATGTGTGATTTGATTTGTCATAAGAACCGTAGATTTATGAGGACGCCCGTACGTGGACGCCCGAGTCGATTTGTGCAAAAGTAGCTTAATTAATGATAGCAAAAATAGCTTAATTAATGATTGCGGTCATCAAGATCATCTTAAAAGAGCATACCATGCGTACGCCGATGAAGAGTAGGTACGAGGGAATATTATATAGTGTTAGGATATAATTAAATTGAAGACATTGGACGAACCTTGATGATAATCAGCGCCTTCACCTGTGTTGAGCGAGAGTTCGATTGAATGTGAAACCGCAACGAGAATGATGAAAGTTTTCAGAAGATGATTAGAAGAAAACTAAATACATAAACGTGTGCTATATCAGGTAAATATAATTGATTTTAGGACGTGAGGTAATTACTTCATAATTTATGCTAAACTATATAACAATTTTACACGCTTTTTTGTTCATTTCCTTATGGCTAAGTGGAAATTTTTTTCACTTCTTTTTTTTTAGCATAATTGGAAGAGAACTTAATTCAAACGATGTTAAATTTATTTGCAGAATAACTTATTTATTTGTTATTAATGTTCCGTTTTGGTGGCATGGTGGGTATTCTTGGAGTAGTTTTGAAAAAAAAACGAAAAATAGTAGCCGTTTAGCTGTGATCCAGGTGTGCATCCAGCATTTGGTGTAAAGAAATGAGTGTATTTCAAATGATTTACTTTTATGTGCACCAAAATTTTGTTGTGAACGACCCTTGTCTTGCAGTGGAATCTACTCTCCCGCGCACAGAAACGAGTTTCGAACAACTTCATTGATTATAAAATAATATTTCGTGTGCTAGTTGCCTTGGCTAGATGCCTAGGGATGCTTGATCAATCATTTATTGAATCTTATTTATGAATAATTAAGTTTAAAAGTGCTTATTTTGGTCCCCCTTGCGTAGATCTGCAGAAGTTCAATTCTTACGGGCAGCGAAGCGATAGTTGACGTTGACGTAGCCATCCGCAGCCTTCGGCCACCAGTTAGTGCTGTAGGCGGTGACTTTGCGCTCCTCGAGAGCTCTTTTCTGCTCGTCCGTGAGCAGAATGTCGCCTTGGTACAGATCTGGGTTTAGCTCCGGGTTGTTTCGAGCCTGGAAAAATCGGATCGGGATATTTTGTGATGCAAAAAGTGCGTCTTAATTGGCAATATTCTGGAATGTTGATCTCTCCTATCATGCCCTTAATTCACAGAATTAACTAAATGAAGAACGTCGTGTTGAGTTTTAAATTAAAATTAATAGCTCAGTATTTGGTAAACTATACTAATCTCAGCACTCAATATACGGATGTTCGACACATATGATTAAATATTTATCTCATGGACACGGTCTGAGTAAGATTTAAGTGTGGAACTCAAACACTTTTTGAATCCAATCATAGTATCCTTATACGAGTTCTGAACTTGAATTTGATGTTTAGTCAACAAATCACCTGAAAATTTGTAAACTGTTCTCCAAAACAAAGGGCATGCAATATCATGAATAAAACCGGGAAAATATTGACAAAATTAAACTTGTTCAAATAAGTGGAAACCCCTTTCCTTTTATCGAGTTCATTTTCTTTCTCTTGGTTCTTTTTCTTTCCATAATATAGCTACTGGTCTATCGTGACGGATTCTCCCATTAACGCTAAGAAAATATTTTTTTGGGTATGATGTCATATAAAAGAGGAATAAAAATAAGTGAGAACTACAATAATAAACATACTTCAATTACAAAAATATGGGACATAAACCATGCGTTCCTTAGTTTATGTCCAAACTTCGTATTCGAGATTCGGACTCAAGAATCGGTAACTCTCTGAAATAATAATTAACTAATATAAGTAGCATAGGAAACTTAATCAAATAAAAACGATGAATATATAGAATAAATTTCGCAATTATATAAAATCCATTGAAGTTACAAGCTCATGATTAACACTACTAGAAAGAGAACTAATAATGACACAATAACACATACCTTCGTGGTTTTTCACAAATCAATCAATAATTACGGATCATGACTCAACGATATCACGTCAGAGGTGACTCAAAACTAAAATTAGAAATGCCTAACTTTTATCAAAAATATTACACTAAATTCCTTAACAATTTAAATATCTAACCAAACTGACCCGCATGAGTTGGAGGTCCAGGGCCTCCCTTTCGGCGTCGCTCAGCTGCAGCTCGTCAATTTGGCGCCCAGGCATCGACATCTGTCGGCATCGGATGAAAATTTAAATTCAATTGAATCGCATAAATTAAAATTAAATAAATTAAATTAAAATTTAATTATAAATTTATTCATAAATTTATTTATTTATTTAAAAATTAATGAATTTATTTAAACATATCATTCTTTTTTATATGTTCGTGGACGCCGCCATGAATACATTTGGTAAGAATTTTTTTCGATAAGGCACCGATAAATTTTCGACCGAATGTGTTCGAAGTTCAATTTTAAATTTTAAGTACTTCTAAAGTATTTGAACGAATTCAACAATTTTGAAGCATATAATTTCTTATGTCAGATACAGATACTTCCTTTGTGAACTGAATAAACAATGAAAGCACTGATACGAATGAAAAATGAGCAATCTTTTAATATTCAGTTGTACATACGATGGTCATTTGATATTTCATCGGCCACGTGATAGAATATTCCTTCAATTCTCTAATTTAGAACAGTTTTTTCAGGGCATCTTTAGCCGGACTCGGAATGTACTCAAGCAAGTATTAATTTAGTTTTTTCACATGAAAATACTCGGACGCAAGCTGTAAAGAATTCGAATTTCCCTTCCAGCAAACACCGTAAACCGTGTACAAATCTGTAGCCAGATTTTGTTGGGCTTTCCGTTTCCAAAACAACCTAACACAGTTAGGTGATGGCAAAAATACATTGACTGACATATGTCTGTACCAACGTTTGATTTCTTATTTAGAACTGAAAAACTCGTGTTGTAAACTTACTTAAAATATATTTATACTCACCTCTTCATCCTCTGCTGATACAACAGCAACTGCTAACACCAAGAAACACAATGCCAGTAAAGACCTCATCATGAAAACAGTGAAGATGATCTGCACCTTCCACCTGCCCATCTCCTACTTTTATATGGTACCTCCGCCTAGAACAGGTGTGGACGTGTAACCTTTAGTGGACAATGCAAGTTTCAAAAGTTCCCATTCATGCAAATGCCATTAACCTGTTCAAATGGACTAACTTTTGCAGCCCTAGTGATTACAAATTGTAAAAGCCCTTTGCCTCCATTACAGAAATATACAGATGATGAACGTCGATTGAAGTGAGATTGCCGGACAAAGAGAAATCATTTATTTTCAACGCTCTGAATTTTTCATATGACACTGTTGCTGCAAGTTTAATGGTTTTTAGTTTAGCGAAGTTTCTATAGAACTCTTGAAGATATATCATTTTCCGCTCGTATCGATTAAGCTTCAAATATACATCGTTTCAAAATCTGAAGGTCTATCGTATACACGCGAGGTTTTTCATCTGATATCGAGTGATCATATAGAAACATAAACTACACCCACCATCTCTTGGGTGCAGTACTAACATCTTGCATCGGGCGATCATATATCGACACATAGGCTCAAAACGCACAATTTCGATTTTGAGTGCATTAGACACTGCTAAGAAAACCGCGATCATTCATCATTGAAAATCTCATATTATAAATAAAATAATTTATTTTAATTTCACACCTATCCTTGTATGGCTTTAATGATTGGTCGCTACTTTTGAATGCCTTCAAATCGAACGTGATTGGGTCGATCTTCAAATGACTGTTGTCGGATAGCGTCTGGTTTCCTGCTTAGGTTCCTGAAGAATGTTTTGTCGCCCTAAGTATTTTTCTTACACGTCAGTTCAAGTAGAATGATTAAGAAACAATTTCAGTACTTAATAAGATATATGTATTATCGTGACAAAGATTGATGTTTAGATATTATTATTTGGTTTTGTTCTCTGGTGCCTACCCTGAGAAAATGTTGGTCGTTCTCAAACCTTGAAGTCCCTCCATATTATATGATTTTATTTTTAAGGTTAAGGTTGTCAGTTTACAGAAACTGCTTTCAAATTTAACCGGGAATAGAGCTGGCCTTCTCCGCCATAAAGCCTACGCAGATACGCAATAAAGGCGCGACACAGCAGAAACGTCCGCGTTGCACAGACAATATCGCCAGCCCAGTGCATTGCCAGTCCGCAACTACGCACCTGCCCTGGCGGGCTCTGATCTGCGCCGATGCAGACCTCAACATCTGCTCTGGGGCGGCTCTGGGGCAGTGAATGTCGTAGTTGAGCTTGATAGTATGTTTACAACGACTTAAAATTTTTTATATATCCTTATATCTACAACTTTTCGAAATAAAATCAGAGGATTTCGGTCAAGCGAAATATCAGTCCTGTTCGTTTCATCGATCACTTTCCCTGGGTAATGAATCATGAAAAGGCATTTTCTTAATTCATTTGACTTCATCTGGTACCGTTAGTTTTATATAATTAAATAATTAAGTTCGTTTTATATCGCTATTTATTTCACATTACTTTCATTCATCGAAATAGCCTCATTGGAAAATTTATGCGGATTAGTCTCTAAGAGAAGAAACTAAAGCAGCAGTAACATTTCCAATATCAGCTCTATGATGAAGTTTACTCGCAAATCATTTCAAATCAAAAAGGTTTCCGATGTTTGCAGCAGTCCCTGAACTTTTTTATCTTTTATTCGATTTATATTATGAGAATAAGCAAGAGATTTGAATAATTTGAATAGGTAGTGATGGAAGTTAACTACGTTTTCTAACAACTTTTCAGAATTTATGTCTTTGATTTATCCTTTCAGTATAAGCATCCCCCCTTGAGCGTTTGTTCATTTTTGCAAAAGTTTTCAAACATGACAATGAGATGAAATTAATCCGCAATTCAAATAATTGAAATTGTAACGTGGCGTTATTGAACTCACAAGTGACGCTAGAAATAAACTCGTATTATCGCATTATGTTCAATAAACTTAAAAGTTTTTTAGATAGATATCCGGTTATTGTTTCGCGGCTCTATCCGGCTAGTCGAGCACCGTAGAATTGGTCAAGATCGCTGCCAGTCTTGGTTCAAAATTCTAACAAGGTTATCCTAAAGTTTTCCAATTCACCATATGTGATTAAGTACAATACTCGATCAGTTCTGAAAGCGCTATGGACAGTGGGAAAATTTTGTCCGATTTAAGGTATTCGAGCCATGCAGGAAAGTTAATATTGTTATACATGAAATATAGCGCTATGTAAGGAAACTGATGTCAAGCACTTAAAATCGCTTCGAATGAGGCGTAAAATCAGTTGGATCTTCGAGTTTGTAAGAACTTTAACTTCGTAGTCACAGAACCATATAATTTTATAAAAAAAATTTCTATAGTACTCAAACTCCTTAACATCATCCGAACTCTTTCCAATTTTTATTGTTAATTCAAAGCTTTCTTTTTTCCTCGCACTCCGATGGAATAAAGCAAGTGCTCTAAGCTGGCAGCTAAAGGATTTTTAGACCTGTCGGTATGGGCATTTTGCATTCTTCAGAGACATATTGAAGTCGGTGAATAGTATAAAGGAATTGCCTCTTCGTTGGAGTGATAAAGTTTTGAACTAATTCTTAGCAAACAATATACGTAACAAAGAGGTTGGCGCTAACCATCCTATTGATTCCGCGATAAATGCGTCATCTAATCAGCAAAATTTATGTAAATACTTTAAATAGGCATACAAAACCTTTCAGTAATTTTGCTCGTTATGACGGAATATTGCAGAAATTTAAAACTTGCTTTGCAGGTCCACGGTATTTGACGACGAGCTGAAAAATTTCAAACTCCGAGACGACAAGCAAAGATTGAGAGGGAGGACGATATGCAAGCATAATTAAAGGCCCCTGTGATTAGAGTAACACATATTTTATTATCATCGCGTCCTCGTATAATATGCAATGCAATATTAAAAACCTAATAGCAAAGAAAAGTCCACAAAAATGCATAGTATTTTAAAAGAAAACGTTTCGGAGTCCAGCTCCATCGTCAGTTCGAAAATTCTAGAACACAGATAAATCAGTGATTAGTACAGTCAAGAATACAACGAAAATCCTAAGCTGACAAACCTACCGATTTACAATTTCAAGCGGGTAAGAGCTAAAAGCGGGTTGGTACCTGTTTTAAACTGTCTCACGACTAATAAGTATACTGTAGACAATTCTTATACGTTTGTGGACCGCTTAAAGGATTTTACCAACGTTCAGGCCTCTAGCTACGCTATGGCCTCTTCAGATGTGGAAAATTTATTTACTAATGTGCCTCTTCATGAAACCATAGATATATGCCTGAATTCTTTAATTGTTTAAGGATGTAAATGACCTCGTTATAGGTTTGAAGCGTAATTTTTTTTAAATCTCTTTTGGAATTATCTGTTTTAAACTCTTTTTCATATTTGCTAACAAGAATTCCGAAAATCGACTTTCACAGGCCTCAGTACTAGCTTTTTTAGCTTTTGCTCGTTTCGATTTAAGATTAATGGGATTCAAACACTTTTACATCGAGGTTTTCGTATTTGTTCTACTTACAATATTCTGCACTCTGAATTCGCTTAATGGATTTCCGACTAATCTGGTGTTTACCCAAATAAAGAAATTCATGTCCAAGCGGTACCATGAGGCTGCTCCCGAGCGCGACAATAGGGATGTTGTTTATTGCTCTCTTTAATATTTCGGCCCTGCATCTGAAACTATGTCAAGAGAGCTAAAACTTTTGTTTTCTAAGTATTTCGCAAATGTTAATCTTCGTGTCATATTGGTCAACCATTTTAAAATCGGTTCTTTTTTTAGGTACAAAGATACTCACCCTGTGCATATGCGAGCGTCCCTAGTTTATGAATATAGTTGTGCACGATGTGCATCTGCGTACGTCGGGATAACGTCTCGCAATCTTTATTCTAGGGTCGCAGAACAGAGGGGCAGGAGTTGTAGAACTGGTAACTTACCGTCGCGCCCACCTCATTCGGCTGTGCGGGTTCACGCCGAGCAGTGCGATGTTCCAGTTTCTGACAGTGACTTCAAAGTTTTAGCTTCCAGTTCCGGTGTTTCTGATTTGCGCATTTTAGAATCATTATATATTTTTAAACAGAGGCCTAGTTTGAATTTAGCTTTTAGCTCTTACCCGCTTGTAATTGTAAATAGGTAGGTTTTGCAGCTTAGGATTTTCGTTGTATTCTTGACTGTACTAATCACTGATTTTATATGTGTTCTAGAATTTTCGATCTGACGATGGAGCTGGACTCCGAAACGTTTTCTTTAAAAATACTATGAATTTTTGTGGAGTTTTCTTTGCTATTAAGTTTTTAGTGAATTTGCGATTCAAGCAAACAAGTGATATTATTACAATGCAATATAGAGTTGTGATCATGCGTATCAAAATATCGTTGCATCATGGAATTTTTGACACAGCCACAGCTGAATGCAGCTTGATATGTATGTTGCAGCCCACAGCTTTGCAACATTAGATGTTTCGTCCTCTCTCGCACGTCCATCATTTGAGTTCCATTTGAATGTTGATGGTGGAACTGCATTCAGTGGAGCAGTCATAAATCACTTGGGAGGCCATAAGAGTCTTTGTTTCTCCAGTAAAATAATTGAAGTTGCACGGTTGTGATTAAACGTTTTGCCCGTTCCTAGCAATTTTCTTTCCACTTTTGTGTAAAGCTGCTATTCAAGCTCACTGGAAAAAAATAGTTGTTATAGTTTCGTTCATTTTTCATACCAAAGATATTATTCATATTTTGGTCAAAGAATTCTTCCTAACTCACTCAAATGTCCATCATCCAAACCTGGCAATTTCGTTAACCTGTGTTAACGATCATTGTGAACATTAATTCTTGAAAAAGCTGCAAAATAATCCATCTCTCTGCAGCGAAAAAAAACTATGCACTTCTAAAACCTATTGTGACATGTAGTTTTGAACAAAACTTTGTGACCGAGAAGTTACTAAACGGGAACCGAAGGCAAACAAAAACACGAGTCAAACCAAGGTTGGTGCATTTTTTCTTTAATGTAGGAATAACGATGAAAACAAATGCCATCAATTCTAAGTTTGCTCTGTACTGCCCCCTGAAATTTTGGTAGCGACTCGCTTCACATGCAATAAGTGAAGAGGCAACGGAGTCGCATACTCGCTCCCAAGTTCGTCCAACCCAGCTGTCGTGGAGTCGAGCAACGAACTGCCAAAATTTCTTGAAAGGGAGGTGACGTAAAGTAGCAGGGGCAAGATTAGTTCGCAATCAAATGTTCCAGGTTGTAGCTACTTCATACGTCACCCAGAATCAAGGAACAGAACAAAAGGTTACGGAAGCTATTACCCGTAATTAAATTCGAAACTAAATCGTAGTTTTTTTTGTTTGAGTTTTAGGATGTGATATTCTTTCCTAAGGAACGCAGGATTGTCACTGAGAGTTGCCCAATGAGGCAACGCCTGCATATCGGCAAATCCTGTAATTCACTTATCATCTTTTGCTGGAGTATTTATGTGATTTTTAGAAAACTTTGATGCGATGTTCAGACTTTTGTATGAAGTAGTTTAAAATTTAAATTAATTCACATTTTTTTATGTTATTATCAATTATTTTTGTACATGAAAGGAGTGTCGTAAGGTGAATAATTAAGCCCGAACATTGAAATAATAAGTGTTCAGGATATCTACGTTAATATTGATTTAAATTGATTTTTCAATACTGATGATCAAGCAGCTACTAGGCATAAATTTTTCATTTTTTCTAGTCAGTAATAATTCTGAATTTTCTAAGATTAATTGCTCAGAACTGCGGCAGCGATGACTCACCAAGGACGACAATCAAAACAGTATATTTTATTTGTAAGATACCGCGATCCCTTGCTTCGTATCAGAACCAAAACTTGTTTTGAATCCGGAGTTCAGCAATGACACCCTGGTATCCACAAGCCTGTAATCACCAGTAATCGCATCAACTATAGATTAAAAATTGAGTTGTTAAGCAGCCTGCACCGTCTGCCCGTGGACGGTGAATTCCTATCCTCTGATAATACAATTATGAGTTGCTGGATTTTTTAATCATTGCTACGTGAGGTGCGGTTTGATAGAAATTTAAAATTTGAGTAAAAATCGATGCTTCTTAAACGGCGTAAACCGATCCACTGACTGATTTTAAATTGAAATTCGAAGAGACTGTTAGATAAATTTTCAATTGAAGAAAATTTTTAGAAATTCATATTGATCTTCAAATCAAAGATTAGTTTACTTAAAAAATCAACTAAGATACACCCGTGTCCGTAAACTGACAACGCTTCCCGACTCAGAATTCCCGACAGTTTAATTCCCGACTGTTTGATTCCCGACAGTTTGATCACCGACACTTTGATTCCCGACAGTTTATGTAATTCCTGACAGTTTAATTCGGGGCAATGTAATTCCTGACAGTTTAATTCCCGACAGTTTAATTCCCGACAGTTTAATTCCCGACAGATTAATTCCCGACAGTTTATGTAATTCCCGACAGTTTAATTGGCTTGGTTTGTCTTAACTTATTATTTAAATTATCTTAAGCAGTTTTTGGACCACGCTAGAAATAATTGCATTAAAATTGTAAAAATAACCTGAAAAATTCTTGAATGATGAATCCATTCTTACCCTATTGTACTCTTACGAAGCTGGCCTGACTGGTGAATAATCGTGCCCCCTTAAAAAATTTTCATCTCTACCAATGTTTTCTTTATTGTTACATTTTTATTACAACGATCAACTGAATCACATCTGTCATGTGTTAATCTGGCGTCTCATTATAATTATCTTATATGATTAGATCATATGTAATTTAGGCGTAATAGTCACTTGACCTGATAGAGATTAATTGAAAAGTACTAGACATGAGTCAGCGTCTAGACGACATCACGTGTTATATCATGCGAACAAGACCTTAGTTGTGGGCGGAAGCGAAGGCTTTATAACGGCTAGTAACTTAGTATGAGCCACCCACAGTAGTTGATAAGCGCTCTGCGATGTAACGTGTCGGTTGAGTTCTTCGACTTTACGGTCGACGCCGTAGCTTATACCTCTGTATCGTAACTTTTGTACAGGGTCCGCCATATTTATGGCAACGCATGTTTTTTGTTATTTCTCAATGAAACAAACAGGTGCATTGTTTTTTTATTGGATGAGCTAGTACCCAAGTATTACCTAAACAATTCTCAGACATATTTATTCAATATGACCACCCTTATTTTTAATGACGGCCTCCAATCTACTCGGGAAAGCTTCACAGGAGACACGCAGCATTTCTTGAGGGTTCAAGTCCCATTCTCTTGTCAATTGGGACTTCAAACTATCCAAAGAATCATGAGTGTTCTGCAGACCCTACTCTCTAAAATAGCCCACACAGAAAAGTCGAGAGGATTCAAATCAGGGCTTGTTGAAGGCCATTCATTTTTGGTAATGAACCCTGGGATGTGACCCTGAATCCAGTTTTGGGTCATGTTTGAGCCATGTGATGGGGCAGAGTTTTGTTGAAAACTCAATGGTGAGCCGTTGAAGTGTTTACGGGCCCAAGGTAACAACACAGCTTCCAAAATGTCCGAAATCTATCGCTGTTCAATTTCACTCCTAAGGGGACAAAAACGAGTGGGGACGTCCCAGTGGCGGTTTACCGCGGCCCAAACCATCACGGACATGGGATTTTGACGTGGTGTTTTTGTTCTGGTTGCCACAGATCCATCCCGACTCCAAATTCTGTCCATTTGACGGTTAAGGCTTTGTTCAATGTCAATTTTTTTCTCGTCACTGAACACCAAGTTGGGCAGCGTGCCATCCTCAATGAGATCCAGAATGTGCTGGCATCTTTCGAGCCTCATTCGTTCATGACGGTCTGTTAGTTCATGCCTTGTTTGCATCTTGTAAGGGGAGGTTTTGAGGTCATCTTTGAGGACTCTACGCATTGATGTCTGACTGACTCCTGCGTTGCAGCCAATTTTGCAGCTGAACGACGAGGGTTTCTCCTCAACTTCTCCCTCGTGTTTTTGACCAATTGTTTTGTTCGGGCACTTCGTTTCCTTCCTTGACCAGGTCAATTGCATGTTTCACCAGTTTCCCTGAATTTTTTACCACCTTCCACACAGTTTCACGACGAATTTGGAGCTTTTTTGCAATGACTGAATTACTCTCGCCCTTTTCATGAAGGGTTACAATTGCATTTCTATCTACTGCCATAAGTAATAGTAAATTTAGACACCTTAGACTTCTGCAATATAAAATAGATAAATTATTAGATGATAATAAGCTTCATTATAAAATGAAAGTCTCCTAGAAACCAATTTATTTTTATATAGCAAACATCCGTTGCCATAAATATGGCGGACCCTGTATTACCACACCGTATATCAAAATATGTTATCTAGACCTGTTTGTCTTACTTATCCTTCACGACCTTGGTCACGTAACCCGATCTTCAGGTATAGCTTAATATATGAGCTCTGAAACATCAAACTGGTGAAATTAACAGCAGACCTACTACACGTATTATCCCAAATTACCTAGGTGAATAATGCTTATTCCCAAATACCTTCCTTGTATTACTTACAAATCTTCTGATGAATATGGCAATACCAATTAAAATAGCCTCGTATAGTCACTCTGACGAACTCTGCTCGTTTTTGAGCTTCATTGAAGAAAGATCGAACGCAAGATTCTGAACCTTAAACACAAAACAATAAATACGATTTAAAAATTTGTTCACCTACAATGTCACAGAACATCTAGTGATACAATTTAGAGATCTCTCGGGAGCATTAATATAATGAGATTGTATAAAATCTTTGCGTGAATAAGTATGTCGCATTCGAGTAATCAGATTCCTCGAATTTTTATCGACTAACCAGATTATTCTGCGAGGACATCGTGGTACTAGTCTTACACACCATCATGTTTGTTTTCTTACGTTCAAGACAACATCTACTTTATATTTCAAGATGACTCCATCAATCTCTCACCAACACCCTTCGAACTTTAGACTTCTTCTCAATCGGTCGGATCGAATACACACTCGAGGAATTTTCGCTGTACCTGTTGCCGTAGAATTTTTGGCGGTCAGCGGCAACTGCATCCTCATTATGGTATAGCTGAGGAGTAAAATAATCAGGGAACTGTGATGTTAATAAAACAAGTACTTGCTTGGACAGTTTACTGCATTACAGGGCATACATAGCCACGTAGATGACTTATCAGCAGGTGGAGAAGCGGAATGTTGACGGACATTATTTACTTCCGACCTAGGGCAGGCTTGGTGGTTGTCGGTTTTTTGGTAGTGGTGGTTGTTGGTTTTTTGGTAGTGGTGGTTGTCGGTTTTTTGGTAGTGGTGGTTGTCGGTTTTTTGGTAGTGGTGGTTGTCGGTTTTTTGGTGGTGGTGGTTGTCGGTTTTTTGGTGGTGGTGGTTGTCGGTTTTTTGGTGGTAGTGGTTTTGGTCGTTGTTTTGGTAGTGGTTTTGGCGGTGGTTGAGGATGTAGGCACAGAAGTAATACTTGTGCTGTAAAAAAATAAAAATAATTTGCTTTCAATTTCTAAACAAAATGAACCGTGATATAAATTACTTTTTAATTGAGTCAGAGCATGTACTCGATCACTTGTAGTTTCCAGGTGCATTTTTTATGTTTAAATTATACTTAACGCGACATCTAAATTTGTCCGTGCAGCTGAAGAGTCTCAATAATTATGGGGTCTAATACAAACCTATCAAGATATATATGAAATCATACAACATACCTACATCAATCAATTTTTTATTATTACAATATTTAAGATATTGTTGCTTAGCAGGCATGAAATAGCAATTATTATTCAGGATTTTGTCACAAAGCGGTTACCAGTTGGGCGAAGTCTGGTCCTGTACGAAGGTGATGGTGGCCGAGTAGCCCGGGCTCGAATAAGTGAGACGAGAGATGAAGTGCAAAACCATCGTGTTGCCCACGCTCTCGAACACTTGGCCAGGGATGATTTCAGTGCCACAGTACCTGAAAAGTTATCATTCTTTAAAAAACTCTAGAATTTGCCTAATAAATATTTCCTTTAACTAGGCTGCCATTTGAGTTGAATCTAACTAGGAACCCAGCAAAACAACGAGGGAGCAGCCAATAAACTTTCAATTTTTTCATCTCATTTATTTATTAATTTCTTCATTTATTTTATTATGTTTTTGTCGCTCTTACGCGAGTATTGCTATTGTGTAATTTGACCGCTGTCCAAACAACAAAAGGACTGGCAATGCCACTGATGAAAATAACTGTGTGACGTGTTATTTCTTACCGGTTTGAGAGGATGTCACTCCTACGGATGATCAACTGCTGGAAGTAGCAGGAGTTATCGGAGGCGATGGTGCGAGGAAGCAGTGAAAAGGCAGTGAACGTCAGTCGAACTTTCTTGCACGTCGGTGCGGTGATGATTTGTAGGTACTCGTCCACTGGTGGAGAAATATTTTTTGATATATAATAATATTTCACATTTATTTATTTCGAAGTTGAGTACGCTTTCATCTTGAAATAATTTAATTAAGTAATTGACTTAATAATTGCAATTGATAGAAAAATTTAATTTACTAATTACTTAACTCATCACGATCGGTATCTATATATACGCGGTTCATAACTTATATAAATTATTTTAAAATATTCAAACATATTTTCTTAAATAAGTTTAAATAAGACAATTTTGAGCCATTGTGGTTCTGAAATTTTTAACTTACCGCTTGCGATGGACGCAGGATAGCCTAGTGATGTGACCACTCCCTCAGTTGTGATAGTTTGACTGTGATTACGTGTGGTCGTGACCAGGGCATCTGTTTTAAGGCTTAGTATAATTAACGCGTAATGTTTATAAATATTTGTCATGTCGATGTTCAAGACTTGCATGAAAAGTCTGACAGAATTAACATAAACGCGCAAATGAAATTTAGATTTCACGTATTGTTTTACTTCATATTTATCGATTGTTAACGAAAATTTTACTGCATTATTTTTTTGACTTTTTGACCATTGCCTTGTAAGGCTACTTCTCAATGAAATAAACTCACCGAGGTATGGTTGATTGAGTGTCTCACAATTAGTCCCTGAGGTCCCAGGCGGGCATTCACACTTGCAATTGGGTCCATAGTATCCGTAGTTTTGGCAGGGATCCGTTGTGGCACCGCACTTTGTCAGGTACACAGCTGATGCGAACGTTAAAAAGTTTGATACCACAGGAATAAAAGACGTAGAAATCTCCAAAAAAAATGGACAGCATCCTACTTGTGTTTACGATTTGAAACGTGGCTGCTAACCCTGTTAGTATAGGAATTTTTTGTGATTCATGATTAGAAAGTGTTCTTTCAATGGAATTTTGTAAAAAATATAACTTTATCGCTCAGAAATGGAAAATCTAATTATATATTTAAATGTATATAAAATATTTCAATCAAGTTTGCAAACAATAATGTTAGGGGAATGTGATTCGGTGTGATGCTATCTAATCCTATGCTGTGTACCAGGCGCCTACAGTCACTTATAACGAAGAATTATTCACATTACAAACGGCAGGATAACTATGAGAATACAAAGGAACGCAATTTAAGCTCTAATTTCCGAAACTTAGAATTCATTCACTCAAATTCACTCACTTATAAGATTATTTACCAAAAACTGTATTCTTATTAAAAGTTAAATAAAAAATCTCCTCAGCACTGAATATTTCGCTGGTCGTGTCAGTCTGGATGTTTTCGACTTAAAATCGCCATTAATCCACTCTCCTAACCTGTGCAATTGTATTGAAGGTTGGCAATCCTCTTGTCCATGAATGATAAGCCGTTGCGCTGACCCATAAAAAGTTGCCCGTACAGATTTTTGGCAATTAGGGTCTCATTTCCATTACTTGTAAATGCCTGTTAAAGACCATCATTTTAGGAAACATTTAGAAAAAATAATGATAATAGTTCAGTTTTAAATTTCAGCTCAATTTAAATTTTGTTTCATAATGCATAGGCAGTCAAAAACTCACATATGGATCATAGTGCATGACGGAAGAGTAGTCATATGGGACGCCGAAGTTGTTCGTCAATTCCATGTCGAAATTATGAGCCATGCTAGTCAGGATGTTGCCTGACATCACGATAACGTAGTTGTCTCGGTCGGAGCGGCTTTGCTCATGTTGGAATCCCATGGCGTGGCCGATTTCATGGACGGGAATGCCAAGCTGAAAATAGAGTAACTGTAAAAAATCGCTTCGTTTCTCAATAACTTGAGAAACGCGTAGTGCTTCACAGGCATGCGTAGTTACGGGTAAGACAAATGCAATAGAAGCTTCAAATTATCACTGACATGGTAAAAATTTTCTGGGATTCCCAGACATGAGATTATGTTGTAAGCTCAGACCGGACGCCGGATTCAAATATTATGCGAGTGAGTGTCTGGAGCAATAAGAAGAGAATTATATAAAAACTAGAGGTGGCACCGAGTTACCAGGACGAGAAAGAGAAATGGAAAAGACACGGAGACGAAAGGTGCTATACGTATGATTGTTTTGCTGGTAGGAGTTTTGTGGTTGTGTTTGGTTGGAAAGGAGGGACTTGGCTTTATAAATGGTTTGCGCAGGAAACTGTAATCAAATAGCTGAAAAGAGCGATGATATGAGTGATTGAATGATTGTTGATGAGTATAACGCCTTGGTCTTTGTGGTTGTGGATGTAGACAAAGTGGATCTGTGGTTGTACCAGTGACGGACATGGTGTTGTAGCATCTTCAGTGAGGAGTGAGGGTTCATTTACTGCGGAGGATAGTTAAACATAGATTGTTTCGTCTTTTTGTTGGCCATTGTCGAGCATCAGTCCATTCGTACGGAAGTGTCGTAGGAAATTATCTATTAGCGAGTGTAGTATCTTAAATTTGTCACGTCCCAGGTGTTCGAAAGCTTTTGAATTATCGAAAAAAATTATACGTTATTAAAACAATCTCTATCAAATGCTACTATGGCTTATGTATTCGAAAGCTGAATCTTTAATTGCGTCTAATAGGTCAGTGCCAAGCTCTGTTGGGTTATGTTAGCTTGTTGTACTGCTTGTTTGCTATGCCATCTTATATTTGCTTGGTTTTGAGGATTTTGGACTTTCTCGTTCTGTATTTGCAGTTTGTTTTGTGTTTTTATTGTAGTGTCCGTGATTACAATTTTCATGGCGTGCATGTATTGACAGTTGCAGCACTTGCCAGTTGAACGTCCAATGTGTGAAGCCAGTTGTATTGATTGGTGATCTCATGTCACATGTCGTCTGCTGTGTTGCAAGTCGCATTTTCAGTCAGTAATGTCTTTCGTCTCAATTAGTTGGTGACCTAGAGTCAATTTTTTTAGTTGAATCTTTCAGGTGTCTCGAGGGGCCATGCGAAATGTACAAAAATCTGGTGGAATTCATTTTTAATTTGTTAGTCATAAATAATCCGCTTTTCTGGCCGGTGTCAAGCCGAACTCGAAGAAGAATAATTGCAGCACGAATATTCAGATTTCCTACACCAGCCTAACCTCACGGTGCTCCCGCTTCACCTGTGTTTACCTAGCAGTTCTGTGAAGGCACACCTGCAGCATCTTATCTCGGCCGCGGTCCTGCTCTCCTCTTGACCTGACGTTTGTGGTGGTTCGACGAGAGCGTGGTTCCCCTACCTGTAGCTCGGAACTTCTCCTGCTCGGCAGCTGTGGTCACGGTGGCGCTACACTCCTGGAAGCTACTACAGTACACTCCTTGAAGCTACGGAGACTTCAGAGGTGAGGCTTGATTCTTGGCCAGAACCTAGCTTACCTCGCTCCCAGCCAATTTCTCAAAAACTGGATGATCCTTTAGGACTGGACCGTTAATAATTTGTGAATTCCACCGATTTTTTTGTTGAACACTGATATTAATTAGCCAAGTACTGTATTCAACCAATTCTCAAGTTTGGGTTTGTTAACCGGCAGGTGTGAACCGTGTGATGGTCATGGCCAGCCATGGATGACCGAACCAGCCGTGGATCCATCCTTTGAACTTAAATAACGCCTGTTCAGTTTCTAGTAGCAAATCCTTTCTTATTTACCTGAAAAGTTGAATTAGTCGCGGTAAATTACTAGAGCGGAAATTCACAGTCATCTTCTATTAAAAATTAAATTCAATATTCAAAATTTTTTGGTTACGAAAAGGGTTGGTGAATGAGTGCAGATGAAAGAGGGTGACGGGATGATAACGATGGGACATGTCATCGTACGGAGTTGGTTGCCCTACTCCTAGCAGACGAGCCTGTTAGGTTGACGGCCCAGGCGCCCGCTGCAGCATTAAAGGAAATAAGAAAATAGTGAAGGAAGTGAGCGAAAGCACAAGAAGATAGTGATTGTGCAGTTGTATATATGACTGAATCATAGAAACAACCATCAAAGTAATAAGTCAAACATTTTTTATGACATGCACTTGCGGTTGGGAGACTGCTATTCCAACATTTTTCGAGGGAACAAGGCTCTAAACAAATGAACCACGAAAATAGCCACGGAGGAGTTGAAACATCATATAACGACGTAAGCACTTTCCGACAATCGTATTCGAACGTCCTTGCTGTTATGACGTTAACTCTCAGATATTACTACTGAAGTGTAAAATCGAGGCAATGTCTCACCAAAGTCAAACATCCGGATGCAAGGTTCACAGGCTGCCCGTTCCAAAAATACATTCTGCCGACATAGCTGTTGCAGCCCGAGTTGTCGTTTTGGAAGATGAGATGCGGGTTGCCATCCGCACTTGCAATTTCATGGAACCTGATGCACGTATTTGTCTCCCACTCGCTGATTGCTTGCCGCACCATAGTCTGGGCAATGGAGGCTGTCGAAGTCTCACCAAAGTCAAACATCCGGATGCAAGGTTCACAGGCTGCCCGTTCCAAAAATACATTCTGCCGACATAGCTGTTGCAGCCCGAGTTGTCGACGAAGTAAGAAATGTTCATTTAGTATAGGCTATAAATAATATGCAGCTCATGTTGCTCGAAGAGCAAGGGGCAGGAAGACGGACCAAAATTGATCCGCATCTTAAATTGAACACATCGTAGGAAATATTGAACAACAAGCGTTTCAAGCGTACGATATTTCGTTCTCACTAAATTAAACGCTTAAATTTCATTTAAATGGTTATGAAACTTAAAATACTAGCTTTAATTGTAAACTATAAAAATTAAAGTTTAATACATGTAGTATTAATTTTTCCTTCTTACGTAATCTTGTCTACCTAACAGTTTTGACATTCTTATTGACAAAAAAATAAATTAAATTATTATGTATCTAATTAATGAATTTTTGTTTATGCGATTTTTATTATCGGATCAATAATAATTTTACTCAAGAATTTTGATGATTTTGGTAATTTAGGTATATGATATATGATATGAGGGTTAGGTATAATACTATACATGTATGTTGCTCATCAAATTATTACATCGAAGTATATTTGATCTATACCGGGTTAATATATTCGAAAGTACCATCTTCGGGATGTTCCGAATTTGACTAAAGTTCAGCCGAACTAGAGCCATATTATGTTATTAGATAATTATAGTATCGATGCTGTTCTAATAATGACACTAATAGATGCAGTCTTACAACAATTAAGTAGATAAATACGGTTCGAAATTATAGCGTGTTCCGAAAACGTTTTTAAGCGGGAAGTACAGAGATTATTAGGTAGGTAAGGAGATGTCTCTCTTGAGCCATCATGTATGATTTGACTTGTCATTGGAACCGTTGATTTGAGAGGACGCCCGTGGTCTTTGGTCACCGTGGAAGGAACATCGAGTCAATTTGTGCAAAAAAATTAAGTAGCTTTATAATGATTGCGATCACCGAGATCATTTTAGGAGCATACTCTGCGTACGCCTATGAAGAGTAGGTACGAGGAAATATTATAAATATTATTGGGATATAATTCTACTGAAGACAATGGACGAACCTTGATGATAATCAACGCGTGCACCTAATGCTCAATTAAAATTAATGTGGAACCGCAACGAGATTGATACAAATTTTCAGAAGATATGCAATATCAGGTACATATAATTGCTTGAGATAATTCCTTCATAATTTAAGCGAAACTATTTAACCATTTATCACGCTTCTTTGTTCAATTCTTTAATAGGAACGGGAATTCAATTCAAACGATATACAATTTATTTGCCGAATAACTTATTTATTTCCTATTAATGTTCTGTTCGGGTGGCATAAAGGTCATTCATGAAGTAATTTGGAAATAATTATACGAAAAATAGTAGCCTTTGAGCTGTGATCACAGTATGCATCAAGCTTTTGATGTGATTTACTTCCATGTGCACTTCCAAATGATTTACTTCCATGTGCACCAAAATATTATTGTGAACAACCCATGTTCAGCAGTGGAACCTCATCTCGCGTGTACAGAAACGAGTTTCGAACAACTTGTTTGGTTCTACAATTATAATTCGTGAGCAAGTTGCTTAGGGATGCTTGATCAATCATTTATTGAATCTTATTTATGAATAATAAAGTTTACAAATGCGTAGTTAGATCCCCCGTGTGTAGATAACAGTCTCCAGAAATTCAATTCTTACGCGCAGCGAAGCGATAGTTGACATTGACGTAGCCATCCGCAGCCTTCGGCCACCAGTAGGTGCTGTCGGCCATGACTTTGCGCTCCTCGAGAGCTCTTTTCTGCTCGTCCGTGAGCAGAATGTCGCCTTGGTACAGATCTGGGTTCAGCTCCGGGTTGTATCGAGCCTGGAATAAAAAGGATATTTTGTGACAAAAAAGAAGTACCTCTTTGGCAATATTTTGGAATGTTGATCTCACCTATAATGCCCTCAATTCACAGAATTAACTCAATGGAGAACGCTGTATTTAATTTTAAATTCAAATAAGTAGCTTAGCAATGTATAAACCACTAATCTCAGCACTCAACAATCAACAGTCAGCACTAATCACGAATGTTCGACACGTATGTTTAAGTAGTAATCTCAGACACACTGTCTGGGTAAAATTTAAATGTGAAACTTATATACAATTTGAATCCAATCACAGAATCGCTTATGAGTTATGAGCTTAAATTTGAATCGCTTATGAGCTTAAATTTACATTCCTCCCAAACAATGGGCATGCAATATCATAAATAAAACCGGGGACAGCATTAAACTTTCATTAAATAATATTGACAGCTTTAAACTTTCTATTTATTTTTCAAACTTTCCATTTTTAACGCAAAAAAATTTTGGTTATGGTGGCATATAAAAGATGAATAAAAATCAGTGAAAACTACAATAGTAAACACACTTCAAATACAAAAATATCAGATATTAACCGTGCGCTCCATAGTTTATGTCCAAACTTAAGATTCGAGGTTCGGACTCAAGAACTTTCTGAAATAATAATTAACTAATATAAGCAGCATATGAAACTTAATAACATACAAACGAAGAATATATAGAATGAATTTCGCAATTATATAAAAACCATTGAAGTTACATGCTCATGATTAATGCTACTCTAAACAGAACTAATAATGACACAAAAAACACATACCTTCATGGTGGTTCACAAATCAATCAATAATTACGGATCATGACTCAACGATATCACGTCAGAACCTCTTCATCCTCTGCTGATACAACAGCAGCTGCTAACACCAAGAAACACAATGCCAGTAAAGACCTCATCATGAAAACAGTGAAGATGATCTGTACCTTCCACCTGTCCATCTCCCACTTTTATATGGTACCTCCGTCTGTCACAGGTGTGGACGTAACCTTTAGTGGACAATGCAAGTTTCAAAAGTTTCCATTCATGCAAATGCCATTAACCGGTTCAAATGGACTAGCGTTTGCAGCTCTAGTGATTACAAATTGTAAAAGCCCTTTGCCTCCATTACAGAAATATACAGATGGCGAACGTCTATTGAAGTGAGATTGCCGGACAAAGAGAAATCATATATTTTCAACGCTTTGAATTTGTCCTATACAACTGTTGCTGCAAGTTTAATGGTTTTTAGTACAGCAAAGTCTCTATAGAACTCTCGAATAGATATCGTCTTTCCATTCATATCGATTACGCTTCAAACATATATCGCTTCAAAAATCTGAAGGTTTATCGTACACGCGAGTTTTTCATCTGGTATCGAGTGATCATATAGAACAGTGGTTCCCAAACTGGGCGATATCGCCCCCCTAGGGGCGGTGGAAAGTTTTTCGGGGGCGATAAGGAAGAAGAGGGCGATAGGGGGGCGATTGGGGGGCGATAAACCGAAGTCAAAGTCAGGAGTTCGAACTTTTGTTTGACGATTTGTACACAGCACGTGCAGCACATGACTCCCAACGATGGTTCTTTCACCCGATCTTTTTTTTTTTAACCTCTCCTGGGTTTATGTCTCGGACAAGTTAACGGCCGGACTCGTGGCCGGTTTCACGGCAAATTTCCAAATTCAATGATCAAGGAATTTATCTCTTAAACTAATGAACTTAACTCGATGAAACTTGGTACACGTATTCATTAGGACCTAACGATAATGTTTTGCTCGTGAAAATTGTTTGAATTTTACCATCGTTTGTTTTTGCCATAGTTATATGGCAATACGGGCTGAAATTCACAGTGATCAAGTAATTTCTTCCAAACTACTGAACAGATTCGAACGAAATTTTGAATTTACAGTCCTAACTACCGAACGGTAATGTTTAGCTCGTGAAAATTTTTTCGATTGTGCCTTCGTTTGCGATTTTTTTTTCATTTCACCTTCATTCGTGATTTAAACAGCCATACGTATAAGGCTCGTGGTTAAACCGTCCGTTAGAAAAGCCGGTCGTTCCTTCTATATCTGTATAACTCGCGAACGAAAGCAAAAAAGAAAAATTGTCACGAGCTTAACATCACCGTTGAGAGGTTAGGTATTTATATACAAAGTTTCGTTGAAATCTGTTCTGTCGTTTAGAAGAAATTCCTTGATCGCCGCGAATTTAAGTGACAAATTACCCGGCGATACGGGCCGAATATAAGGAAGTGTGAAATCAAGAATGACGGCGAAATGAAAAAAAACTAGCAAACGAAGGTAAAACCGAAAAAAAATTATAAGCTTAAAAATCACCGTTTGGTAGTTAGGAATGCATGTAAATTCAAAATTTCGTTCAAATCTGTTCAATAGTTTGGAAGAAATTCTTTGATCACTGCGAATTTCGGCCCGTTTCGCAATATACGCGTAACTCACGAAAGAAGGTAAAATTTAAAAAATGTACGAGCTAAACATCACTGTTAGATTCTGATGAATACGTGTTCCAAGTTTCATAGAGCTGCGTTTATTAGTTTGGGAGATATTGCTTGATAATTGAATTTGGAGATTGGTCGAGAGACCGGCCACGAGTCTGGCCGTAAATTCGCACGCGACGTCTTAGGTTTCCAGTGCTGAAACAGTTAAAAGAGCTGAAGAACATATTGGTTCACTAAATGGGGTTCTATTTGTGAAATATACATTTGTGTTTAACCTTTATCTTTTAAAATTGCTGTGTAGTAAATTTCAAGAAAGAGGCGCATGTCTGTGGGGGCGCTAGAAATTCACTAGGTAGACAAAGGGGGCGCTAGCCTGAAAAAGTTTGGGAACCACTGATATAGAAGCAAAGACTACACGCACCATCTCTTGGGTGCAGTACTTATTCTTAAACATCAAGTTTTAAACAACATTTCGTATCGGGCGATCATATTTAGACACAAAGGCTCACACCGCACAATCTCGAGCTTGAGTGCAGTAGTTTCCTTTATTTGTATACAAGTTCAATGTTCTCGGCTTGAACTGAGCAGTGCAACAACGTCTATCAGCGCAGCCAGTGTTTCATGTTACTCGGTTCTGGCCGTAATTTATTAATATCAATCACTTGATTTGTTAGCAAAATGTGCAAGAAATGCTCGTAGCCTTTCGAGTTTGATTTGAAAATTTTTACTTGAAATCTCAAGCATCCTTTGGTCATATTAAGAGCACAGACGTTCTCGTGGTTTGAAGAGTTATATAGCTAGCTCCGTGAATATAACCATTAACCAAATCCAGTGTCATTAGCCAAGCTAGATGCATTTATCATTCAAGTGTTAATGGCGTTGCAGCGACATGAAAAATAACATTTCGTCTGCCTGAATGGAGTGATTTATGGAAATTGTTGTTGAGAAATTGTTTCCTTTGGGTCGGCTTTCCATGAATTGATTGCAAATGGAATGAAATGTGACAGATTTTGAGGCCAAATACTTTTTGATGCTGTGATTCAAACTTCACGATCGGATCTCTTCGTGCCTTTTTCAAGTATTTTCAATTACTGATCACCTCTTATCATTTTGAAAATTGGTAAAATTAATTTATTATCAACTTTTTTGTTTGTGGCATATTTTTTCTTCAACAAACAATAAAAACTTTCAATACAAGAAAAATTCTAAAATACCGCTGCTATGAAAATCGTGATCAGGCATCATTGAAAATATCATATTAAATATAAAATATTGTATTTTAATTTCACACCTTGTGTGGCTTAATGATTGGCCGTTACTTTTGAATGCCTTCAAATCGAACGTGATTGGGTCGGTCTTCAAATGACTGTTGTCGGATAGCGTCTGGTTTCCTGCATAGGTTCCTGAATAATGTTTTGTCGCCCTAAGTATTTTTCTTGCACGTCAGTTTAAGTAGCATGATTAATGAACAATTATTTCAGTACTTAATAAGTTAAGATCTATCCATTATCGTGACACAGATGGATGTTTAGATATTATTATTTGATTCTGTTTTCTGGTGCCTACCCTGAGAAAATGTTGGTCGTTCTCGAACATTTGAATTAAGTGCCTCCATGCTAGATGATTTTATTTTTAAGGTTGTCACTTTACAGAAACTGCTTTCGAATTTTACCGGGGATAGAGCTGGCTTTCTCCGTCATAAAGCCTACGCAGATACGCGATGAAGGCGCGACACAGCAGAAACGTCCGCGTTGCACAGACAATATCGCCAGCACGGTGTGAAGGTGCATTGCCTGTTAGCAACTACGCACCTGCCATGGCAGGCTCTGATCTTCGCCAATGCAGACCTCATCTCCGGCTCAAACCGGCTCAACATCTGCTCTGGGGCGGCTCTGGCAGGGAATGGCCGCAGTTCAGCTTGATATTATGTTTACCACAAGAATTGTTTCCTTCTTTAGCCTCGATCACCGATTCCGCCTTACCTATACAACTTTTCGAAGTAGAATTCGAGGATTTCGGTCGAGCGAAATATCAGTCCTGTTCGTTTCATCGATAACTTTCTCTGGTTATTGAATCATGATTCTTTAACCAGATTCATCAACCATTTTCATGATTCATCAACCATTTTCTTGATTCATTTAACTTCGTCTGGTACCATTAGTTTTATATAATTAAATGATTGAGTTCGTTTTATATCGCTTCTCATTTCACATTACTTTCATTCATCGAAATAGCCTCATTGGAAAATTAATGCAGATTAGTCTTTGAAAGAAGAATTTAAAGCAGCAGTAACGCTTCGAATATCAGCTATATGATAGAGTTTACTAACTAATCATTTTAAATCAAAAAGGTTTCCGATATTTGCAGTAATTCCTGAGCTTTTCATCTTTTAGTCGATTTTTAATATAGAAATAAGCAAGAGATTTGAACAATTTAAAAAGATAGAAATTAAAGTTAACTACGTTTCCTAACCACTATTCAGAATTTCTGTGGTTAACTATATTCCCTAACCACTATCCAGAATTTATCCTTTCAGTATGAGCACCCACGAGCGTTGGGTTCCTTTTTGCGAAAGTGTCAAAACAGGACAATGAGATGAAATTCATCAGCAATTCAAATAATTAAAACAATAACGTGGCGTGAAAATCACAAGTGGCGATAGAAATAAACTCGTATTACCGCATTTTGTTAAATAAACTTTTCCCCATCTGCCTATCTCATAAGCTCTTAATTTTAACTTGGGGTCTGCATGGCTACTTGGCTGCTCTCTCTTCAGGAATAACTTTTATGGCAGCGCTATAGCAGCGCGAGCTTTCCAGACATGCTTGGCTGTTGGAATTCTTGCACTCTATCAGCAATGTCTTGTATAATAATAATAATAGCGGTTTCAGCGTTTATTAGGCCGAAGGCCTATCGCCGATTCTTAACATCGCAGAACATTCACAGCATTTTGAGGTCTCGAACTCGCAACGCACTGCTACAATTCTGCTATGCTTTACCGTCCGGCCTCCTTGCCGATTCTGACCAGAAACTGGCGCACAGAGCTGGGATCGAACCCGCGCCTCTCTAGTGCGTCAATCTTGGTACTATGAACTGTAACCACTGTGCCACCCTGCCCAGTGGTTCTTGAGAACGTTTTTGAGATAGATGGCAGGTTATTAATTGTTTCGCGGCTCTGTACGGTTGGAGCACAATATCGGTCAAGATCGATGCCAGTTTCAGTTCAAAATTCTTACAAGTTTCTCCTAAAATTTTCCAATTCACCCTATGTGATTAAGTACAAAACTAAGTTCTGAAAGCGCTGTGGATATTGGAAAGATTTTGTCCGATTAAAG